TATTTAACTTATCATTTGTGCCAAATTTCCCCAATTTTTGCTTCGACATAAATCAGACTTGGAGGATAAATGTGGCTCCAAATGGCTTCTTCAAGTGCGGTTTATGCCACAGTGACAATTCGTTCAGTCAAACAAAATTAAAACCTGAGTGAAAAGATGAAACTGTGCCACTTCATTTTCAGATCCCTCGGGATGATTTGATTAAATCAGACGGAAAGAAAGAGACTTGTGAAATCATCTGTGAACTGATTGTTTTAAGGAAAAATAAACTGCATGTGCGAAGTGACCTGTCATGTCACTGCACTCATCCTTCAAAGGACTGGACTTAATCGGATTCTGGTGGGCAAAAAAAAAACAACTAATGAATCTCATGACCGTTTTGTCTGTTGTTGGGATTTCTCCGAACTAATCTACGTTTGTTTCTGTTGTGATAAAGAAACGTCCCATAAATCGTAACGTAAAATGTCAGATTGGTGTTACAACATTTTTAAAGTCACATATCTTTTTTGTGATTTTTAATTCTGAAAACACAATTTTAGGGAAACTGTCTAGGTGAGTTTAGAAAAAAAAATCCACAAATGAGTTTGGTTTTAATGAGTGAAAATGACGTTTGGAAACCAGAAACCGATTTGGTTGGTTAGTAAGATGGTTTCACAATTTTCTCCTTAACTGGTGATTTTTAAAATACTAAATTCAAGCGCAGACACGAGAGTGAGTGACTCGCTAAGTCGGACGTTTCTCTGCAGGAGGAACCTCGGGATTCAGATCCAGTGACACTAAAACTGCGTAAAGCCGCGGAGCGGTGACGCGCCGCTGAGGAAGAGGAGGCCGATGAAGAGACAAACGGACATGTTGCTTTACGCTGACCAGCTCCTCCCCACATGTAAATACACCCCCGGGACCAAACTGAGGACATGTCATGTAACACACGGACGGCACATTGTTTTAGAACCGTTCTTGATTTCCCAGAATTGGACAGTTGGGTTTGTGCTACTGAAGACTGGAAAAACTCTTCCTTCTCTTTGCTCTTTCGATCAAACTGTTAATGCTTCGTTCTTTTTTTTTCGTTTTTATTTTCTCCTTTGGGATAAAATGACGCTGCTAATTTATTTATATAAAAGTTGTGCAAAAGTAACCAACATTTCCTGACCTATGGAGTTAAAGATATACAAGTGTGAATTAAAAGATGAACTGTGACCTGATGTTAACACCTGCAATGTCTCCATTCATGTTCTCACCTGTAACTTTCTTTATTCAATCAGTTCATTCATTTAAATAAAATCATCAAATTGAAAATGGTTTCAAACACACTCCAGTGAAACACAAAGGCAAATTATAGGTAGCACACAAATGCACGTTTTTACATTAATTCTCCAGATATTGCAAAAAAAAGATTGTGTAATTTTATTTTGAAGCCCTAACATTTAAGACCACAACTAAAAAAACCAAAACAAAAAAAAAACCCGAATTTATCCTCTAACTTCAAAATGTCAAAGCTTTCAAACGTAAAATAATTTATAGGAACAACTAACTAGAAATGAACCAAATTTGTTGATTCATATGTCACTGTGGGGCTTTTAACTTGAGTTAAATTTGGACAAACCTGAGTAACTTAAAACCTTAACCTGGGTATTTTGGAATGTGTTAGCACACACCAACTTAGTACGTCACAGCAATATTTTAAGACGAGGAATAAATACCTCGGTTGTGTTTAAAACAAAACCAGCGCTAATTACTAGCAACGCTGAGACTAATTAGCATGAACACTAGGTAAAAGATGGACAGCGCGGTACCCTCTGAACTCAGACAGCACTCAAGCAAAAGCAATAGGCTACCTGAGCGCCACACTTGAGCGAGGGCGTGACGTCAAGACGTCAGCCAATCACAGCAACGTCTGTCGCTGTTCAAACTCCAGTTTAACCCAAGGCGGAAGCTTGACCGACAGGTACGCAAATAAACCAAACCTTTCTTTAAAGTTCACAAATACATCTTAAAATAAACATTACGCCCACCTGAGCCACGTCTTCATGCCACTCACACTCCTTTAAATCGCCCCAGTCTGATGCCAGAAACACATCATAATCCACCAGACGCTGAATAAACAATATCTTGGCCTAAAACGCCGATTTTCTTTTGACCAAGTTAAATTGTTCCAATCAATAAAGTTATTGTCGAAGACCACTGAAGGTGTTTTTAAGGTTTAAAGTTGACCACTCTTCCCAGTAGAAAGCCGCCGCCCTAACTCCGTTCGCTGTTGTTACCGGAAGTATTGTCATTATCCATGTGCAGTCTACCAGATTTGTCGCACGCATGCGCAAACCTCTCACAGTAAACTAATTTCGCGCATGTATAAAATGAATCGGGTTTTCGCAACAGATCTGGTATCTACAGGTTATCAAACACCTAGGCAGCCTATTGTTACCTTCTTCGTCATCTTGTAATGGCGACTGCTTTCCCGCCATCTATTATGCTGGAGAATTAGCTATAATAATTCTGTTAATCAACCCAGTTTTTCTCAAAAACACATAGAAAGTCACTTTCAGTTTTTCCCGTTTAGGGGTCGCCACAGCGAATTGTCACACTGACGACTTGCATGTTGACATTTGGCACGTGTTTTACGCCGGATGCCCTTCCTGACGCAACCCTGATTCGAACCCGGGCCGCACTAGCCTACCAGGGACGGCTTTTTCTCCAAAAACACATAACTTTTTTATAATTCCCAACTTCGTGGCTGAGTATAAAGTTTAAAGAAGATGTTACCTGATTGTCGTCTTCTTCATGTGGTTTACTATCTGACTGTGGTAAAAAAAAAAAAAATACTGGAATTTTAATCGATTAAAAAGCTAAATTAACAGTATCATTTTATGAAGCTAAAGATCAGAAAAAAACAACTGCAACAAACCTGGTAATAAATGTATTGTTTTAGTCATTTATGAAACAAAACTGTCAACAATTTTCAAGTTGCAGCCTCTAAATGGGAGACATTGCTCCTTTCTGGTTAATATTAAACTGAACATGTTTTGGTTTTGGACTGTTCATGGAACAAAACAGAACATCTGGGTATTATATCATGATTTTTTGGACATATTACAGACTGATGAATTAATTAAATACTCATTAAAATAATACACAGGCCTAATTTGAGTGACATTTCCTGACTTACCTCAGTTGTCATGGATATAATTAGTTAGACTAATTTTTAGACTGAAGTTAATAATATAAAACCGTTTTAGTAGGTGAGGAAACCTGGTCTGTTCTACACAGGAATGCATCACAACCTCATTCTGAGTTGAATTAAAAAGTCCACTTTAAAGGGGCATTCCACTAATTTTACACAAAACAGCTGTAGGGGGGATCTGATGTATCTTGGACAATCAGGCTGCAAATTTATAACAGAAAGACTGCTTCAGACTGGGAGACTGGGGTGTGGAGTTCAAAAGATGTGGGCAGAGAGAGTTTAATGCAAGCTGGTATCCTCTTGCATTATGAAAAATGCAGGATTCATCAGTCAGTAGGGACTGAAGATGTTCCTGCTTAGACACTGTAACATCTGCATGGATGCTGGCTGTTTGAAAAGTATTTTTGATATTATTACTATTAATACTGAGGCAACATCAAAATAAATGATGTGCATTAGATATTTTGTATGAAACCTGAAATCAACATATTCAAATGTAATGGAGTAAATGTACTGTTCAGTGTTAATAAAAAAACAGATGAGTCATACAAAGGGACAAAAATCTAAATCTGGGGACTTTAACCTGCAGTGTGAACAGAGACAGGAGCGTGTGTGTGACTCTAATGAAATTTTTTGCAAATTGTAATCAACCCGAGCTGTCGTTGTCAGCTGATAAATGAGACCCAGGGGATCATCGGAGGCCGAGGCTCTTCTTTGCAGCGTGTAGCCTCCCCCCTCCTTCCCCTCTCTCCCTAATTTAACAGCAACCTGCCCAGACTTCAGATGAACTCACTGATGAGTCCTAATAGAGCCAGAACGTCAAGACTCAGAGTGGAGACCTCTGTTGCATGCTCGCCCTCATCTTTCTGGTCGACAGCTTACACATACTGCACATATTGGCACAGTCTCAAAAGGCATGAAACAATGAATCTGAAAAACCACATTTAATACAGCTACCTGATGTATTTGTATCATAACTTGTCTAGGCTACTTTTAAAGATTAAATGTAATAAATGGCAGAATGTCCAAAAACCACATTTGCAAGGAAAAAGTCATGTTTATAACACAACTATCTGCTTTTAAAGCTCCAGAAAAAGCTAATAAGTGGCCATTCGACAAATGAAAAATGTCTGCTTTCATGACAAGACTAAAGATGCTGCTCCATGTTGCTTTTTCTTGAGTTTTTGCTCAGTTAAAAAAAAAAATTTTTTTTGGTTAAGATGTTGAAAGTTTCAGTGAGTTTAATATAAATATATAAAAAAGTCCCATTGTTGTAATTTAACTTGGAGTTCTTTCTTTTGTTCTGAACCAGACTTTGTTCTCAAATTTTGTAGAAAATCTAGTGCTGACTGAACGAAGATAAAGCAGCTGCATCTGCAGCCCTATTGTTAGCCAACACACCCGGCCTCTTCCTGTTAAACACAGGGCTTAAAAAGGGATTAACACACAACAGTAAACACAACCTGGACACACACACACACACTTAACACAGTGACAGTTGCAAATAAAAATACTTTCACTGCAAAAATCAGAAAAATGCAGACACTTATCTCAGTGACAAAATCAGGTTTTGTGCAACAACACGTGTCCGTGAGGAGCATTCATACAAAATGACAAATTTTTATTCATTCTACAAAATCTGGGAAAAGAACAGTGACTGAATGTTCAGCACGCAAACAAAAACATTTTATTTGTGCTAAAAACACTACATTACTGATAAACTATTTAGCTGATACAGAAATTTCACAAATACAAAATAAATAACACAAGCTTATATTAAGAAGCATTATTCTTGTCTTTATTGAAAAGAGACACATTACAGTAGAAGAGTCTGTATTAGGTCAAATTTTTAACAACGGTACTGTACAGGCAATAAAAACTAAACAATAATAATAATAATTAGAATAACAATGACAAAGACAATCATGTTTCGATGGTCAATTTATAACAGTAATAAAACATGGAAGGACTGAGAAGAAAAATTTACAAAAAAGTTTAAGTCTTCTTTGCTAGGTGCGTTTATAAATAATGTGCTGGACAGCCCTGGTGGGTGGGGTCAAGGGGTAACACTACACGAGGTAACACAACAAACCAAACCTTGACCATACTGACTGGTTTTTTCTTTGTTTTGTTTTTTGAAGTCTATATACAGATGAGGCGGTGTAGATGGTGGCAAGCATTGAGCAGAGATATTAGCATTGTCGCAGTTTCCTTGTTTTCCCAGCGTAGCTCAAAGCAGACATGACCTATCTACAGTACATGCAGGTGGCTTCAGTCGTTCAGTTTCTAATCTAAAGCTTGTTATATCAAAGCTAACAAAATATATGGTGTCACGCTATTGTCTGTTAGCTGAGTTTAGCTAAAGATGCTAGCTGCAACTGGAGATTCACAGGATTCTCATAACATTTTAGCTACAAATGTTAGTTAACCTCAGCGACAACTTCATCATTTTCTATGATTACTTTTGAAAATCAGATATTACTAAGGATTTACTGCTGTTGTCAAATTAAATAAACAGACATGATGTCGATTCCCAAGCAGCTTGTACTTTTGACAAACTTAAAACGTGAGCACAAATCAGTAAACCGAAAACTGTCTGTAGCTGCCACTGAAGGAGAGACAAATGTCACTAGATGTGAAAACAAACAAATAAAAAACCCAAAACTGTAGCAGAAAGATTTTATGTCCTGAAAAGTAAGACTAAAAAAACATGATTAAATTTCCATTTTACGGGTTTAGCAAACTGCTAAACTGCTGCTGGAGCTTCTCTTCTTAAAACATTCCATTTATTCATTTTTGTGTTTAGGAAAACAAGGATTCAAATGACTTGAGGGGAAAGTGCTAAAGTCCATTTGGAAGTTGAGACCATGCTTTAATGATGGTGAGTTCAAAGCTAGTAGCGGTTAGCTTCAGTGACAGACGACTCAGCAGTTTGTGTCTACAAACACTTAAGAGCCAATGTTACCAAGGTTTTACTGCTCCTGAGAACTTATAAAAAACATTTGTTTGTTCTCAAAATACTCTCCAAATTTTCACATTCAATTTAGTCTCAGAATCTTACAGAGGCCGCAAACTGAAACAATGCAGGAATACTGTTGCTAGCTTGTTTATGTCAACCTGCAGATGGTGCTACTACTGCTCTTCCTTTGCTAGTGTGAACTTAAATGGACTTTGGTTCCAAAGTTGTCCCAATAAATCACTTTAGAGGAAACTGCCTTAAGGTGATGTAAATGTCAGTTCATTCCAAGATGAGGAAACAAATCTGAAGGCTGTAGTGGAGAAAGTTGGGATTAAGATGGATAAACTAGGTTTAGTGCACTTCTGTCATAAATAACATCCTTGCCCTGTCATGCTGTCCTGGTTCAGGACAAACATGGGGCAAGTCGCATAAAAAAACAAAATAAAACGAAACACTGAACACAAATTGAGATCATCTTGAAGATGACGGGGTCATGGCACGTACAGCAACAAGGGTGGATGAAACAAGGAAGCTAAATCAAAAAAGGCATAAGAGGGAAAACTATTTTTGATAATTTTAGCTCTTTCGTTCATTTTTACAAACAGGCGGCGTGGTTGTGGTTGTTTGAAAACACTGCAGCAAAGTCAGCATACGAAGATACAATGCGACTGATGTGTCTATGAATATTGCTTGGATACACAGTTGGGCTGAGCACTCGTCAACCCCTGCACAACATCTATGTTACAAACAGTAACGATGGCAAAGACAGAGGGATCCACGTTGATAGGGAAGCAGGAAGGAGCGTGTTGTTTTAAAACTGTCTGCGCAGCCCATTGGGGGTTCCAGATCTCCAGGTGGTTCGGATGGCTTGGATGGATCAGCACTGCACTGAACCAAAACACGCAACATACAGTCCAAGTAGATGTCCCCCTACCACCACACATCAGAACAAATCACTTTCACTCTGAAACCTGACACAGTAAGTACTTCTTGTGTTCTCTAATTTACATGACATCACCTTCAAAAGAGAGAAAGAGAAGATTATTTACATCAAGTAGGTTTCCAGCCCAGAGAAGAAGAAGCAGCCCTTCTTAGTTATTCGCTGAGCAGATCAGGGAGACTGTCTGACTGGACGAGAAGGTGATGAGAGGGAATTCACGATGATTGCAGAAAAATCTTCACACAGAAACATCATTTTTGCATTCAAATTATGAACTTGTATCATATCAGGCTCCTACTTGTAAAAACCTTCATGTCTGTTGATGGTAAACGTTTTAGGGTTGATAATGTACCAGCTGCGGCGAAACAATGAAAAGCAGCTGGACTCCTCTCCTCAACCTTCTCACCATTGCTGTGATTTAACATGACGCCTGAAGAAGAAGCAGATCAATTCCCTTTTTGCCCCATTACTTCTTAGCTGCGTCTTGTCAATTTCTATGCTTTATAACAATAAATAAAATTCAGGAACAGTTTAAATTAAATATTATTTGACCAGGAGAACAGAACAACAGGCTTGGGTTTAACATGCTCTCGATTCACTCAGTTCAGAAGATGAAATCTGTTGAAAACTGGAAGCAAAGTAAGAAAATTTCTTGTCATACAAGTTCTTACAACCAATATACAAAGAAAGGATTCACATAACATAGATCATTTTCCTAAAGTGCAAATCCTGATTCTAATGTTGGAGGTTTTCACATTACAGCTGGCTCCTTCAAAACTGCACTGTCGACCAAGAAACTGTGTTATATGTGTTAAATCAGTCATGCTTGGCTGGTACTCAATCTGCTTGATACGGTTAGTATCATCCCCAAATCGACAATAAATTGACCTCAGCATCGCAGTGAATTACCCTTATCAACCATAATTTACTTGTTTATAACAGTCTGGATTCAGCTCATTTAAGCACAGGCAAACCCTGTGCACCATTCTCTGACTGTTTCTAACATACTTTGGGTGTTTGGTATGGGTAACGACTGGTGTACGAAAAATTACAGACAAAGTTTTCTTACTTTGAATATTAAATACAAGTAGCAACTAGTCAATCAGTCCATGGAAACACAGTCAGCTTTGATAAAGGATTGAATGTTAAATCTACTCTTTAAACAACATGTCTTGGTTTTGGACTATTGGACAAAAAGGGTATTTTCAAGACATCACCTTGAGTTTTTGGAAACTGTTAGACATCTTCTGACATCTTACAAGCTAAATATTTAATATATTTCTTGCATCTGCAGCTTATGTGTTGGTGTTAGCTTTAATTTATGCCTTTCCAGATAAATATAACCTCCACTTTAAATGAAATGTCATCCATCCCTACAAATGGTATAAACAACCATCCACAAAGTTTTGTCCCTTTTGAATTTGTAATCTGTTGTTGGAGTTGATGTTTTAACTCTGAACAGAGTGAAATAAAAACAGTTTAAACCCAAACCATGGTTTACAGACTCAGATGTTGGTGAAAGGACAACGGGGTGTTTGTGGTCGACAGTCTCCGGTCCCTGAGCCTGGCAAGAGCTTCTGTACACTTCAAGACTTTATACACCCAAAAATGGACACACAAATAAAGCTTAAAAAAAAGTTGCCTTCCCCATGTTGGCTTGTTTAACCACTGGTCCAGCAACGCACATCGAGATACAATATACACAATACAGGAGAAATGCCTTAAATTAAAACAGAGAAAAATGCAAATATCTAGGACATGCGCTCTACCACACTTCTTTTTTGCCTCTAAGAACTGATCCCATATCTGTTTTTCCGTCATAAAAGTTTACATCGATATATTTTCACATTAAAATGTGTAAATGCAGGAGCGTTCACAGATTCATAGCATAAAGCCACGAAAAAAAAAAGAAAAAAAAGAAAAGCACAAAGAGAGAAGCCCTGGACTGAGATTAAGGATGATGAACCCCAATAAGCAAAGAGTGTCGGGTTCCTCATGTCTCCTTCCTGATATTTTCACCTCACAGTTTTCTCTCTTACACTTCCCATTCAGAGAGACGATAAGTTTTGGCCTGAATTCTGATTGGCTGTTGGGTCTTTTGAAGGGCGGTCTGTAATGAGGGAGGGAACTGGCCATGTAGTGTTAAATTAGTGAGTGTGTCATGAGGTATGATGTCCATAGAGCTTCAGCCTGCACCCTAACTGGTTGTCGCAAGTCATGTGATTATTTCCCAAAATGCTCTGACGAGCTCAGGTGATTGTGGACCACATTTCCCAGGATGCTTTCAGTTTATTTCCTATTGAGGGCTCTCCCATGGGGGCAGTGTCAGCACTGATCTATGATCAGTTTTATCCGTCTTAACAAGCCGTCAACAGCAGTGGTGGTTGTCAGGTGATATGGGCGGGGCTTAGAGTCACAACAGGTAGTGGTTCCCATAATAAACAACATGATTCTCCCAAATCAGGGTTTGTTTTGTTTGTGTCACCTGGTCATATGAGCGCCGTGCTCCCAGTGCTGCTGCAGCTGTTGTTGCGGTTGATGTTGCGGCGTGACAGGTTGGGTGTAGCCATGAGTGGGAAGCGCTCGTCAGGGCAGCCATACTGAGCCAATATGTCCACACACTCCTGACTGTTGGCCTGTCGAGCATATGCCATTGCACTGTTACCGTGGGCATCCCTCGCCATCAGATCCACGCCATACTGAGAGAGAGAGAGAGAGAGGGAGAAAGAGAGAGAGAGAGAGAGAAAGAATCAGCTCCTACACCTCAAACTGTTTCATTTATTTGAATACTGATCTTTATAAAAAAAATTAGAAGGTGTAAATAATGTGAGTATGCCTTTAAAACACAGCTGGTCACTGGAGTGAGAGTATAGAATTTAAGATCCTCCTCCTTGGATTAACACAGGCTACATGTCTTCAGTGGCAGCCAGAGGCCCTGACTGAATTTTCTTCTGTGTAATCTGACTGAACTCCATAATTCTCCTGCTCTTACCCAGATCAGGAGCTGTGCGATCACCACGTTGCCCTTGCGGCTGGCCAGGTGCAGCGCACTGCGTCCATCTCCTTCTCCGCAGGTCTCATTGACCTGCTGTCGTGATCCGTGGGCAAGCAGCAGGACAACGGAGCGGAGGTCCTCCTCAGCCGTCGCCCTCAGCAGCTGCTGCCCCAGAGAGAGGTCGGTGCAGGGCAGCGACGTCAGGAACAGTCGCTGCTCGTACTTTGCTCGGATCCATCGCTCCCTCTCTTCCCTTACAGACAAAACACAGGGTCAGAGTTTTATTTTGATTTTATGAAGCTGAAACCAATAATCAATTAGTCAACAACTGTGACTGTAATATCAGGACTTTTTCTGCTTTTCTTTATTCAATCAAACCTGAATGTTTACAGTGTCTGCCCTGTAAATGCTGATTCTTCTGTACAACATGGTCTCAAACTGCTCTCCGAGTGTAAAATAAGACACACTGGGGGACTGAGGGACCGACAGCGAGAAAGGCAAGGGGACGTGGACACATTGTTCACCAATCGAGTGTCATGAAGTGCTGATCTGTCTAATCCACAGCTCTGATCGCACTAATCTCTGCACAAATCCCTGCATGCAAACAGCAGCTCATTCAGAGTGCAGGGATTAGCCCAGGCTCAGCAGAGGCAGGAGGGGGAGGACGACCCCAGTGGGAAAGATATTGAGCTGTCCCCCTCCCCGCCTCCTTTTCCCTCTCCATAACAAAATAAGAACATGTCCTGCAGGGGGGTGGGAAGGGGGAGGCTGCAGGAAGTGGAGAAGGAGACACAACAGTGGCTTCACGCAGGTTGATGCTTCCACCGTGAAATGACTCCAGTGTGTGTCTGTGTTGGAGTGTGTACAAGTGTAAAATGGTCGCTAACACACAGACACAGCAGGAGCGAAAATGCAACACAGAAAGAAACTGTAGCAGAATTAAACTCTCTTCATGGACAAACCTTTGCATGTTTTACTCTGATGTAAAGTTCTGGGTGTCAAACCTGAATATATATGACCCCCCGCCATGCTTCCTGTCCACAGAAACGCCTGCGTGGACACAAAATGAAGCATTTAAAGAGGCCAAACAGGTGTTTCTGTGTACAGGAGGCACGAAGGGAAGAAAGATAAATGGGACATAGATACAGTGGGTACAGAAGGTATTCAGACCCCCTTAAATTTTTCACTCTTTGTTATATTGCAGCCATATGCTAAAATCATTTAAGTTAATTTTTTTCCTCATTAATGTACACACAGCACCCCATATTGACAGAAAAACACAGAATTTTTGACATTTTTGCAGATTTATTAAAAAAGAAAAACTGAAATATCACATGGTCATAAGTATTCAGACCCTTTGCTGTGACACTCATATATTTAACTTAGGCTCTGTCCATTTCATCTGATCATCCCTGAGATGGTTCTACACCTTCATTTGAGT